ATATGCTTGGAAACAAATAAGCATAGATATACCATGTTTAGATTGGCAAATACCATGTTTTAGGTTGATAATAATGAAATATGTAATTATTTATCTAATATATCAACAAGGACCAAAAAAATAATGATATAGTCTAGATATTAGAATAATAGGACGACAAATATCACCATGCAATCTTTCAAGTATTAGTAGTAATTCTTATGGGAGTTTCCAAATTGAAGGCCAAGCAAACATCTTACCTTGTATATATACATAATTCCATAGAATCTGCATTTGTAGGTCTTAAATTATGCCTAGTTATATATGGAATTATCTTCCAAAATAATGTAGATCATGGATGTCTCAATTCTCCATGCTAGAAAGAAATACGACTCTTTGTGATAGATGATGCAAAATTAAATATAATGGGAGGCCGGATTGCAATTCAATATAAACCATTTGTCATTGCAAAGGCTTTTTCTACAACTTTATGGTTCTATATGAGAATCAAAACCTCTTGCCTATTTAGAATTGCGGTTGAGAGATGATGACTATTGGCATGGACATCTCAATAACTGATCAAACTTTGAGGTATTGAAGGTACAAACATTATATATTTAAATTTTATAATGGAGCCTATTATCATATTACATGGTTTTCTATTTGGAAATACATTGGATACCTAGCTGTAGAAAGTTTAGTTTTAACTTATTAGCTAAGTTCTAATAAGTTATTTAACCTTTAAAGTAGAATACCAATAAATATTATAATATCAAAAAGATATTTTACTAATAAAAAAATTATATTTAAGAAGGTTTCTACATAAGGCTTTCTAAAATATCTAAAAATTTCCTAACATTCTTGATTATATCAAATCAAAATTAACCATTTGCAGATAAGTTAGATTTTCAATAATTCCAAAGAAGATCCATAATCTCCTTTCAAAAATTCATCTTTATATCAAAATTTAACTATAGCTCTATATATCCATCTTTAATATATATATATATATATATATGAAGTCTTAACTTCCAAAAAATCCCTTTACATTGTATTAAATACTCAAATTGTAATGAAACCCCTTCAAACATATTTTTTCTACAAAGGATTTTTTCTTTCTAAATTTTAAAAATTCATATCTCTTGATTCAATTGTTAAATTTTTTTCAAATTTATAGATAATATAGAATTTACCCTTAAGTATTACTATAAAAATATTCAACTATAAATTTGCTATCAATCATTTGGCATCTTAAAAACCCTAGTAGGTACTTCAAATCCTAATTTACAAGTACATGAATATTATTTTCTTTATATCTCAAAAAAACAAAATTTAAATGTCTCAAAACTTATTTGTAAAATAAATTAACATAAAAATATTCATTTTTAGAAAATTTTAGCCAAAATCTTCTTAAATTGTACAAGATGTAGTTCAAAATACAACCACTAGCAATTCAAGTCATGTACTATTTCTTAGATTCCATGTGCTAACTTCAACTTCCAATATCTCTTTTATCCCAGCTTAGAATTCATCAAAAAGAAAAGCTTAGAATATATACAATATAACCAAAAAATTGCTTTCTCTAATCCCAATTGCTGATCTTTTGTTGCTTTTTGAACGCATGCGTTATATTGAAAAGAATGATAGTAGGTACAAAACCGACACCTTGACTTTGAGCACTTATATCTCCTTCATAAAAACTCTAAATGACTCAAATTTATACCAAAACTATAGCCAAAATCTTGAACTTATTAATCCTAGCCTTTGATGTTCAAATGGCTTCAAAAGAGTAATTCTAATCCCTAATAAGGCCTCATGTAGTCTCCTTGGAGCCCATTGGACTTGATTTTTGGCTAATAGGAATGGAGATTTTTATCATCCTTCTCCATTCATTCATATGGATGCCCTAAATTCTCTTTTTTGCAATGAAGATCCTTCTCCAACTCTTTTTTTTTAATAAGATTTACATAATATATGCCCTAAATACCAAATAAAAGAACTAAAATAGAACTTCAAGGATCACAAATGTCTAATAAGGATGACTTTAAATGTTTAAAAGTTACTACTAATAGCATCAACTTCAAAAATCACTATCAAAAGAAAATAAAGTTATACAAATTTTAATAGAAGTCCTTTTAAACAACTTTTTTTTGAGGTAATAATCTATCTTATATTATAATCAACAAAAATCCAATAACATGGCTCTCACCATATTATCTAGTATATTGTGTATTAAATATATAAGCACATTATCTTCACACCTAAACCACAATACGATACCATATATAATTTTATCATTCTTGTTCCCTCTTGAAAATAAAATACATTTGCCTCATCCGTAGTCATCAAATTTTTAGTTTACCAAGTTGAAGATTTTTTAGTAAAAAGAAGTGTCTATCCCATAAAATAGTGTGTGTTGTTACAAAATTAATGAATGCATTATTCCATTCATTATTAGAAGTTTTGTCATTTATATAAGCCTCTAAATCATTAATATCAATTGAGTCCATGGATGCATCTACAGTATGAATTTCACGAGCCTCAATTCAATTTTTTTTATTTTTTTAAAATATTTTAACAAAGTATTCTGAAATATGGCACATATGTGCTAAATATCCAATCATTCGTCATTTATGGCAAGAATGCATCTTTGATTTTTGTTTTCTATTGTAATTAGTTGTAGAACATTTATTCTTTCCATATGGATAGAAATAATCATGTTCATGATTGACCTGATACTTATGAATACTTTTTCTATGTTTATATAATTTTGTTTTAGGCTTTGAAATATTAAATGCATGAGATTCTAGAACTGAGATTCTAATGAGACAAGCTTTCGCATTACACAAGAATAGGTCATTTTATTTCTCCACAAGAAGTAGATAGGATATAAGATCACAATGACTCTGAAATTTCATGTTCCTATATTATTATACAAGCACTACAGATACAAGAGGAAATCTTATAAGAATTTTTTCCAATTATTTCTTCTTCAAAGATGCTTTATCTACATAACCATAGTTGTGAGACAATATAATATGATTCATTATTAAAAGTATTTAAATTTGGAAAATCCAAGACACATAAATGTGTTCAATGATGATGTGCACATCAAAGAAAAATGGTCTTTTGATGATCAAACTTAGATTTAAGATTCTTTCAAAGCTTGGCTAAATCTTTTATTTCTAAATATCGATGTTTCAATGCAAGTACAAGATGATGACAAAAGAGAAGAAGTGCTTTCCAATAGGTAGCAAGAAGAATTGAAGTGCTCACATTAAGAGATTCTTCAAATAGAATTGCATCTAAGAGTTGTTCTACAAATAAATTTTCTTTTTCCATTTTTGCCTATAATAAATAATTTTTTTCATCATCAGCCAATGGTAGAAATAAAAAAAAATTGAAAATATTGGAATGCAGTGGTGATAGTTGAAAACATAATAGAGGTAGTAGAGGATATTGAAGCATTCATTATAAATAAATCTATGAACAAAAAATACAAAATCAAGTAGAAAAAGTTGAGTAAAATGCTCCTTGAAATGTAAAGCCAAATAAAATGATAGAGTTGAACTTGAAATAAAAAATGTTAAAAAATTGAGGATATTTTTTATTTATTTATTTTTTTTTTTCCACAAAAATAAGAGTCTGCGGTGGATTGCGGCAGGGCATGGTAGCTCGGTGGTATGGTGCGGCACGACAACTCAACAATAAGGTGCGGCAGACAGTGGCAGGATATAGCAGACAGCGGTAGAATACGGCAGGCGATGATAGGATATGGCGTAGTATAGTATAGCAACAAGATAAGGTACAGCACAGTACAACACCATAGTAACAACACAATAGCACAATACAACAATAATACAGCTCAATAACACAACAACAGTAATGTAAAAAAAACGAAGAGAAATCAAAGAGTAAAGTGCAAACAAGTTTTTAAGAATCAAGACTTGTACATTAGAGCAATCGTATTGATAACATACTAAGAATGTTTGCAGAGACACAAGAGTAATTAGAAGTAATGTGCACAAAAATACACACATACATACAAGAAAGAGTATATTGATGTGGTTATCTCACTTATACAAAGAGAAGGCAAGAAGATAAATAATTTTTTCCCACTACATTCCAAAGACTATAGCTACAGTATTTACTGTAAACTACAATAAATAGTATGGAGAGCACCCACTACATTTAATGCTCTCAACAAAATGAATGCAATAACCTTTGCTAAAGCCCTCATCAAGGATGATGAATTCTAAGAAGTCCAGTAGTTGTGAATTTCAAATAAAACGTACATGAAGTTAAGTCCAATAAGAGGGAAATTGAAAAAGAATCCATTCAGTAAGACAAAAACATGCAGTTAGGATTTTGAAGAATTTATTTTGCAATACAAAAACTAGGTTTTTTAACTTTAATGGAAGTACCAAGTGAAGGAAACATGTTACATCCATATGTTGTTGTGCAGAAATCGAAATGTGCGCAATCCAAACGAGGAAAATGTGAGTCAACAAAAGGGAATACTATTTTAAGAAGGAAAAGCCTTACTGAGTTGTGGGTACCACCGATCAGAAGACGATGATCTTATTTGAAACACGAAGAAGAAATGGATGTCACACGTTGAAGTCTACAAGCACTGCACGGCCATCATGCTTTGAGGAAGAAGATGTCAGGGAAAATTCAAATTTTTTACTGGCTGGAGCGACCAACGATGCAGTTGGGTTGCGCCGACACTCCAAGGACATTCCCCTCCTTCGGGGAAGCCGCGAGGAGCCTTTCCTCGCAGCGCACCATGGATACTCTGCGTTGCTTCTGTTGGTGGTTTGTGTGTCCCCTTACGAGCCTCCACTGCCCCCGCACGAAGCTCCTCCGCCGTTTGCTACTTACTACGCTCAGATCTAAACAATAGTGATTCCAAGTTGGAGGGAAACCTGGTGCGTATGAATAGAGAGGAAAAAAAAAAAAGCAAACAGACAAAACAAAACAAACAAACAAAACAAACAAAAACCGACCTGAGCTCACACTGAGCCTTGTGAACTTGCTTGCCAAGCAACATTTGCGGATAAAACTCCCATTGAGTTGGCAGACTATTCAACAATCGACGTTGCTGCCATTGGAACGCGCTGCTGGGATCTGTTATTTAGACGCTTTTGGGAGGTTTGTTTGAGCAAGTTCGTGTCAAAAGTGTGGATTCGACGACGACCATGGCGGTGGAATTGGTGGATGGGTACCGGTGGGTGCTCGCTGTGCTCATTGCGAACGTAGCTCTTGTTGGCTGGATGGCCAAAAAGGTGAGCATCGGAGTTGCTCAAAGCCACACAAGGCAGTAGAATTTCGATCGTATTTTTTGAATGTTACGGAATGTCGAAGGGGAGATTTATTTATTTATTTTCTGTGCAGGTTGGAGGTGCTCGCAGGAAGTTCAAGGTGCCCTACCCGATCATGTACGCCGACGAGAAAGAACACAAAGACGCTAAAATTTTCAACTGCGTCCAAAGAGCCCACCAGAACACCCTCGAATTACTGCCGGCATTTATGGCGGCGCTACTTGTCGGTGGCCTTGAATTCCCTCGCACTGCAGCGGCTCTCGGGGCCATCCACTTCCTAGCTCGGATCCAATACTTCAAGAACTACTCCGTCGGTGATCCTTCGAAGCGATTTGCTGGCGGCGGGAGGGCCGTCTTTCCAGCTCTCTCCGGCCTCTTGCTTTTCTCCATCTTGTCCGTTGTGTGCCAATTCGTTCCCCAGCTCTACTGAGCACGATCTTGCTCTACTGCCCTCTTACAGCTTCAGGAATTGAACAATGGTCGTGCCCCTCTCGTCAATCCTCTAAACGTCGACCTTTTGCTTTGAAAATTATCTATATATATATATATATATATATATAAATCGATAATATTTAGATCAGGGTATTCAACATTTGTGTGTATTTGCCTCATCTCACCCACCATTTTAATGTAAAGTCTCATCAAACGTGCACGCAACACCATGTCCTCTACCATCTATTTCGTTGTTGTTGTTGTTTTGTGCATCACTTTTCTATTTGCAATGAGAGATGGTATTTGCAAAAAGAGATCGAGACAGAGAGTGAGGATTCATGAGATCCACAGCCAGTTTTCATGGTGAAGTAGAAATGAAGTGTAGTGAGAGGGGGCCGAGAAGGAAAGATGTGAACAGAAGAAGGAGAAGAAGAATAGCAATTGGACTGTGGGGTCCATTTCCATTGGATGGAACCCCATGTGCCATGCCATCTCATATCCTACTCCACGTCGTTCTATTCCCTGTGCCACGTCATCTCATGAGGGGTGGGGTGGATCCTCACCTCATCTCTTCCCCGTGCCACGGAATGATTCCTTTCCTTTACTGCTGACACTGCTGCCGTCCTTTTCCCAAATCCCGATACTTCCTGCAAACCTCTCATATCTCTTGACATTTGGATTCCAGGCTTGCAATTAACTAATTCTGCTAATGGATTCAAGTGTAGTGGAGGAAAAAATAATGTATATATATATATATATATATATATATACCCTTATTGAAGGAAAATTTTAGGAAGAGATACCTGTCACAAATTTAACAAATATAGTGACTTAGAAATTAAAAACAAAGGATTGTAATATCACTATTTTGTGAAATTTGAAATTAAATAAAATGTTAAAGATTAGTTATTATAAAAAATTAAATCAAGTAGATAATTATAAAATAGTAAAGAATATTGAGGTTCAAAATTTTTAATTATAATTTTAAATATAAATTTTAGTGTGATAAATGTACATAACAAAAAAAAAGTTTGTTAAGAAGTTATTGAAATTAAGATTAGAAACTTAAAAATTAATGTGAACTTTGGAATTAAAATTAATAAAATAATAAAAAAAAAGCTAGTATGATTCACCTTAATTGAGTCAAGCAACATTAATTAAGTCAACTCAATTTGATCTACTAGACTTTTTCAAAAAAGTTGAGATTTAATTAAATTGGATATTGGCAACCAAGTAAATTTTGGAATTGGAGTACTTACATCAAAGAGTATGCTTAAGAGGTATTTAACCTAATATAATTTAAATTAAGGGAATTAAAAAATAATAATAAAATAAATCAATTTCATTGTTATACTCACATCAATATCTTTCTTGTTGCTAAGATTTTAAAAGTATGTTTTTATTCTTGTTTAAAGTTTTTAAACTTATAAATAAATAAATAATATTATTTAAAGGTATTTTTATCTAATTCTTAGAAGAAACAAAGCTTATATTAAATATTAAAAATATAAAAGAAAATCACATCTGTTATTTAAACATATAAGTTTTCATAACTATAACAAATTTTAGGTTGTAGATCACAAAGTCAAAGATGTGAGTTGAGAAAAATTTGTGAAACTCTTTATTTTTAAGTTAGATATAAATTAAGTAATTTTTCTTTATATTTTTCTACTATCAAATATCTTCTTTTTACAATCTTTCTTTCAAATTATAAATTCAAATCCTTGACAAATATCATCTTTGATAGAACATTTTGATACCTCTCTTTCATACTTTATCCAACATTTTATTTTTTATTTTTTGCAAGCTCCACCAATATCCTTTACTCAACTTGTTTTAATTTTTAAATTTCTTATTCTTTTTCCTTGCTCAGATTTTACTTCATCACCTTGATCTACTTTGATCTTCAATTTATTATTTTGTAATTCCAAGCCTTGAACAAAGTTAAATATAAATACAAATATTTTAGCTTATGATTCTTTTTATTATACAATAATTAATGTAGTTATTATTTATTTATTTATTTGAAATAATAGACTATTAATAATAGAAATACTATATATGTTTGATGGACTCTAAGTGGATTTTTCTCCCCTTACTTAAATTTGATTTAATTAGATCATAACTTACATTAGAGCCCAATATTAATTAATGTGGAGATGCAAATCATTTGTAAGATAGGAAAGCCAAAATGATGTAATAATCAAGATTAATCCAACAACACAACAAATTAATTACACCTTTTTATGATTTAATTTTTAGCATTTGTAGTTCATTTAGTTAAGTGCCTTCCAAGACTTATTCCATCAAACTTAAGCTCTGAAAATTATGAATTAGAATAAAATAAAATAAAAACAATGAATACCATGCTAGAGTACTAGTCTAGGGCTTTCCAAGGTGGTATTAACTATGTAAATCGGAGTTCTACATAGGAAGTTATCCACAAATGAAGTTTTCATGACAAAACTTCATCTAGAATTAGAAATTCAGTAAAAAACAGACTTAAATATTTAAGTTCAGCACTAACATGATGTTAAGATTTTTTTAAAATAAAAGATAAAAGTTGGAAGATTACAAAAATTAAAATTAAAAAATTAAATTAAAATTAAATTTAGAATAAATAATTAAAATTTAAGTAAAACTTTATAAGTAACATAAATAAAAGATTAAGATTAAAGTAAAAAATTTAAGTTGAAGATTAAAAGTAAAAATTAAAAGGTTAAATTTAAAATTAAAAGTTTAAAGTTGAAGGTTAAAAGTAAAATTTAAAAGGTTAAGGTTAAAAGAAACAAGAAAAAATTGAAAGATCAGATTTTTTTATTTTATTTTATTTTATCCTTAGAGGATAAGAATGGATGGAAAGTTAAGAACTTAAGATTAATTTCCAAAGTAAGGTAAAAGTTCTTTGAAATTATTAAATAACATTAATTAATGATAAAAAGACAAATGAGTGATAATATAGCAATTTAATTGCTAAGGGATGTGATTAGAGGGTGATTACGGAAGGAAAACTTACTTAGAATATGTCAAGTTAAGGGCAACAGATCCCTTGTTGTTAAAATATTTGCTAAAAATTCCACACAACTCCTATGCACTTGAATTTTTTTGTGGTTGAGGTTGACTTAGATTTGCTTCTATCTACTACATTTCATGGTGATCCGAGGTTTGACATCCGAGATGTGTGTTTTCAAAGCAAGGCGACTTGAGCTACCTAGGCAGCAGATCCCCTTCTACTTAAAAATTCACTAAAAATCGGTTAATACGTTAAAATTGACAAGTAAATTTTTTTCTAAAAACGCACTTAGTAGATTTCTTTTTTCAAAACCTTTCAGCAAAAAAATGTAAATAAGTACTAAGATACAATTTTTCAAAGCTGGTTGTTCAACACTGCCAAGGCAGCAGATCCCTTCTCATTTAAAAATTCATTAAAAATTTGATATAGATCGGGAATTAGTGATTTAATTTTTTTAGTAAACTAAGCTTTATATTTCATTCATTTCAATAATCTAAATTAAATTTGAGTCAAAGGTCACCGAGTTATAGATTTCTTAAGCCGACACTCGTACACTGCCAAGGCAGTAGACCCTTGCCACCTTGAAAATTCGCCAAAAATTCGTCACAAGTTTAAATCAAGCGTGACTTATGCCGTTGCAAAGCTAAAGGTGAATAGAATTTGCTTACAAAGTTTTACAGAAAGAAAATAAAAAGAGATAGACTGAGCGAGTTAAATCCGAGGCCATACAAGCTTAAAGAAGAAGATTTGCATTCACAAGACAGGGAAACATTTTGCCATGGCCTTGCCACAAGAAGATGGAGAGAGAGGGAGCTCGATCACCCAAGCCCTCTTAACCAAGTGGAAGGAGGCCCAAAAGTGGTGGACACATCTCCACCATCAGAATCAGAGAATCCCTAACTAAGATCAAGGGTCTTCAATAACTCTCAGTCCAAATCCGATTTGAAGGCTGGAAATGCTTAGAACTCAAAAACTAACACCTTTTTGGTGAAACTAACACCACCAATGTCTCTGAAACATATTTTTATCTGTAGATTAACTATTCACAAGCCCAAATCTGAGTTCTAAATCATAAGAATCAGTTAAATTGCTAGTTTAGTTGTAAATTTCAACTACAATTCTAATTCTAATTAGCCTACTTCGAAATCAGCAAGAGTTCTTGCCATCAAAGCCTTCATAATCACCATTCTTCAATTTAGACTCTCTTAAGCATGAACTCTTGGCAAATCCAAATCCTAATTGCAAATTGGCCTTGTATTTGTGATTTTTTCCAATTTTTCTTTTTTTTCAATTTTAAGTAGTGATTAAAATCATTATGAGAGGAAACTCCACCAAAAATTTAGCTTGTCTCCATCTTTTTAAGATTATCATTAATTTAAAAATTAGACTTTATATTTTTAATTGAATTAAATTACAAAATGAAATTTAAGCTTAAAAATCTCAAAATTAATTAAGAAGATAGAGCAACTAAGTTTAAGAGACTTTATAACCATAGTCAAATTAGAAATTAGCTTTTGGATTAAAAATTAAGATTTTAGATTAATTTAAGATATAATTCCTAAAAATTAGAAGAGAAATTCTACTAAAATTGTAGTTTTATTAGTAAGAAAAAGATTTAAAGTAATTCAAGAAAAAAAAACATAGACCTTCTAAATTTACTTTTTTTTTCTTTTGAATTATCAATCAATCTACTAATTAGAAGTATCCATCTAATTAACAACCTAAAGATATGTTCAAAGTCATAATTAACTAAAAAACTAATTTGAATCTATTAATTAGTTATATTAACATTAAAAATATGTTAAAAATTACAAAAAGAATTGTAACTAATCATTGGGGCTTTAAATTATGCTCACATAGACTATTATAAAATAACTCTAATGACCTCATTTAAGATTAATTACTCCTATACAATCTTAATAGTAATAAAATAAAAAAAATTATTTTATAATTTTTTCATAGTATTAATTGAATTAATAATCTTTTTGATATGATTCGTAGCCATTAAAAGATATTTAAAAATATTCGTAGTTTAAAAATAAATTTTTAATAAATTTGTAGCTAAAATCTAGTAATAATTAATGAAAAAATATTAATTTATTCTTTGATGGAATTAAGAAGTCATACTTTGAAAATTGCTAATGAATAGTATTTTTAAAACTTTTTAAAATTATTTTATAAAAAAATAATACACAAATCATTACATATCTTC